ACTTAACAGCTGACATAACAGTCAGCTGAGTCCAAAGGGTCACACAATAAATTATCGTCTATGATTGAAGGAAAGTTATAATAATTAGTTATATTTTATTAAGATTTCGCCGATGATTGATTGGCACAAACAGCGTACATGATTGACGGCTAAATTGTGCTGTAAGACGTGAATTGACTCACATGAAAAGACCCCAAGGGCAAAACATTATCAGGTTAATGGAAGTGCGTCTTGCCTAATTTATATGGGAGGTACCTCAGACATTAACATACTTTACTTAAAAATCATAAAACGCAGACAAATAAATAGCAGTCTGCTGATAATAATTCAAAGTACTCAAAGAGGCGCACGCAATACGGGCATGAAAATGAGTGAGTTTTTTTTCTACAAAAAATTTCATTCTATAACACGGAAAATTAGATAAGTATTTCAATGAAATATACTTAAAACATATGCACGTATGGCTATTATTTTTATTTTTTATGATTTTCATGACCTAAACCGGTAACTTCCTTATTCGTCAACTTCTAAAAGTATTAAAAGCTCAGACAATTTTTATTTGCCATAAATAGTTATGTTCTTATGATTCAAAGTGTGCTGAACGCAAAACAAATGATATGTGGTAGGAACTACATATAAAAACCGGCTTTTCGATAAGAGAGAACGCCGAGACATTTGTCATCGCGTAATGATCGGGGTGGAAATGTTGGGTGGCCAAATTAAAAGAACTACGCATTCGGAATATTTCGCGCCCCACAGAAAGTGGGTATAAAAACAAAACTGATAATAGGCCACAGCATCTAAAAATATTTGGCAACTATTTGATGGTTGCGCTCTCCAAACGAAAGACATTTCGAAAGTATAGACCCGAGAGAAGACCATGATCTGAAAATGGAGAACATAAAAGCTAACGTGCGACCGCGATGTAAAAGAGGCTCGATCGAGGGCAAGGTGAAAAAGAAATTGGGGAATTCGTGCGGCGAATTCAGATCTGTGCGATCGGTGAGCGAAATCAGGCGATGACAATGAACCCACCGAAAAAGTGCACTGACCCACAAATTAGATTTAGACAATACGAATCTCACGTGTTGCCCGGAAGTCACGAACTATTCACTTAAAGCATTCAATTGTTCTGTAGATTTCACTCTATTGTGTCCCCTTTCAAACTTACATAATTAAATAGATTGGTATTTATGGAGTTCTCGATATTGATTCTTTGGTCACGCAAAACGATTTCCGTCTATTTTCTATATATTCCCAATCTTTCGCTCGAGACACGACAGCACACACGACCGATTTCAGCGAAGGCAAAGCGTGAACTGAACGCCGTTCAGGATCGGATGCTATTGAAAACTCTCTGCCCGTCGGGGCCTCCGATCGCTCTGCTGGCGTTTGCGTCGGCGTCAATGTCGATATGGGTGCTACCTGGTACCCGTACTCGCTCTAACTAAGTGCGAGAACCACCACATCTTTCTATTGCTGCGACAATAATAAGTTATAATCAGTGGGGCGTGGTGGGAACCTTCCAATGAATACAATACAACAAGTCCCGGGATCTAGGGACTTTTAAACATAGGGGTGGTTTTAGTGACGTTACGATAAGAGTGGTTCTTAGTAATATACTCGATAGTGAAATGGTATGCCATTTTTGACGATAAAAATTTTTAACTTTAACTATGTAATTTATATATTTTAATTTGAGTTATATATTTGAAACTCAGCTGCTATGACAAATCATTCCGGCATCCATAATAATTGTAAAGCCTGGGACGAAATATTATAGAAATGGATTTTTTTAAACGAGTTACACAGACATTCCTTAAATGAATAAACTGCTCTAACGATCCGACTGATAACCTTAGGAATCTGAGGCTAACCTAAGTAATTTCAGTAACTACGCATTTAGAAAATATTGTGAAATGTACTTCGATTATTATAAAAAACTTTGAACGATGTTTAAGCTTGGGGGCCTGTCATTTTTTCATAAAATAAAACAAATAGAATTTTTACCTGTGCCACCATATTTGAAGTATTTTCCGTATCTGTAAGACCCTTTTCACTATAGTCACAACTAAGGCCAGATATCACAAATGGGCCCAAATTAAAATAAATATTAAAACCAAACAGGTGTTCAACCTAATACAGACTGCTTAAAATCTGCAAAGTCAAGCTCTTTTATTCTATTAGGAATCCAAGATAAGTGACATTCCGGGAAGGTAAAAAAGATAAGTTGAAGTAAATTAATTAAAAAATAAAAACAGCTGATCCAAAAAGGGATCCGAAAAATAATCCATGAATAGATAGACGATAATAGCAAGTGATTCACAAGAATTAACCAAATATTTAGTAAATTATTCAAGGGTTTAATAAAGGCTGATATCGGTAACGCGTCAGCAAATATGAGGGCTATATAAACAATAGGGAGATTCACCTATCGATTCGCACTGTTGCCAATGGTTCTTCACCTTTGGGGTGGCATTTTTGGGATTGTTATAACTCTTATCGAAGTATACAAGCTGGAAAAGAGTTTATGATCTGATAAACACGGGACACTTGACCAATGGCAGGCCATTAAAATGCTGCCACTAATACTATTTATAACGCGGCATTTCCCTTTTAAATTTATGCCACATCCGTGGACATAGTTCCACCTGTCCAGCGGTTCAACTTCGGCTGAATTTTATTTGGCTCGGTCACGGTTCTAATACATCGTTGATTATCCCGTGAAATTTACGATTATCTGAAACCGATTAGATAGTATGGCTCCTGGTTCGTATAAATCACTGCTTACTAGGATCACCCCGATTAAAATGTCTATGGCCTGTTTAACTATCTGCACTCAAATCTTTTCCAGCTAATCGCCACCATGCAGTTGCCTATATTGTTGGTATTTGTACACTCGATTACCCGCGACTTGTATTTACATATAGATTATATAAAAATTGGGATGTTCAGTGCAGGTCTTATCGCCTACACGTTAACGCAATATGCGATAATATTTCTGAATTATTTTTAAAACATTCCATATATGAGTGATGGGAAAACTCAGTCAAAAATATTCGGTTGTTTTTTGTTATCAGCCGGTCAAAGCGTGTCCACAAATTCGCGTGGCTCCTCCAAGTACGAGATGTCACCTGTAGCTCACCCCACTTCCCAAGTCGTTGATAATCTTCACTTTTAAGTCCCCCAGGATGATATAGACATTGAATTCTGGAGTACACATGCACGTACGTTAATAAATTTGATAACATTTTTTATTTTATATTTAATTCCGGTTTATTTTACGTGCTGTTAGAATTGGTAAAAATAACCTGGACAACGTTACCTGAGAATACCTTTCCCTTACCTAAAGCATTTAGTTTTTTCAATTCAGAAGATTGTATGGGCAGTTGTGATGTATGTATGTATGTATACTGTTAGTAATTTTTTTAAATTAAAATAAATCAACTAGTTTTTTATTGAACTCAGGGGTTGGTTAATGCTAAAAACGTAATACAACATTTTAAAATTAATTTTGTGCACTACTTTGAAAAAACTTTTTGCACAAACAGTGAGATCTTTTTAAGGCTTTATTCTTTAACAAAGATTGGAACCTCCAGCAAACTTGGCACAGCTTTATGAAACATGTAGACACTGATGTAGAAAATAGTTCTCTAAATGATGTAGAACAAATTCAAATGCAGAATATGAAATTTCGATTGGGTATTCTTCAGTTACAAATGTTTAATCTTGCTTACATCTTACATTGTTTAATCTTCCAAAGTGTTTTGTATTTCAGTTTAAGCTGCTTATCAGTAGGGCCGGGCCCTTTAAAAGACAGCCTGCTTCCATCTTCGAAATCCGTTCTATGCAAACTTTCATCACCTTTGATTTTTCAACACAGTGAAAATATTTTAACTGGGCTCTTACTTGTGGTTCATATTTGTGGTCTGGAATTCATATGGATCCCAGGACATATCAATGACTGCCGATGGGGTTCTATTCCAATTGACAGACCACATTGTTAATCACCAAGTGCAACACAGAATGTCGAAGATGCGGAGTAAATTAAAAGCCCTGCCGAGATCCTTTGAGAAATCTGTAAAAAAGATTTATGAGTTGGAGAGCGAACTGGATGTGCTGCAGAGATCCTTGAAGGACCCTTTCAAGATCATCGCCCCACAGGACCTCAAGGAAGAACTTGAACAATGACAAACTACTGGACCAATTCTTATTGTTTTGATAAAATATCGATGTAACAAAATATATTTTAACGTAAAATCAAAAACAAAATTACAATCCACTAATTAAATAAATTGGTTTTCGAATCCTTAAATATATTTGAAAACCCAAAGCTATCGATGCAAAGTCACAGCATTTCGCTCGCCCATCGATAGTAGTATCGATAACACGGACCTGTTGGCACCAGTGTTGCCAACTTTTCAGATGGCAGCTATGGCAGCTATAAGTGTCCAAACTAATTTTAATGGTAGCTAAAAGCAAACAAAACCTATATTTTTATTGAATTATGTAAGCATTTTAGATAACTTATCCAGTTCTCCAAACATGTCTTCTTCAGCTTAACTTTTGTCTGATTACTCCCTGTTATTGTTAACAAACTGATGGCTATATATGTATGACAGCTTTTGTCTTTCCGGCGTAGTGTATCTACAAATATGAAAATAAACGTAAATAATATTACAAAAATAATTTGTTGATCAAGGAAAATACCTTATGGGAAAAGTCGAGGTTAAGGCTAAGCAATATTTATAACACCGCAGGTAAGCGACTTAGCGCCGAAAAACGATTTGTTCAAAAGCTATTACTCTATTATGTACTGAAAAATACATGAAGTTTCCATATGAATTTAATTAAATAATAATTACGTCAAGTTTGCTTGAAAAATAGTCAAAAATCCCGCTAGCTACAATTATCCAGCACTTGCCAACTGAAAGCCGCTAGATCTAAGGGGAAAATAAAATAGCTAAATTGGCAACACTGGTTGGCACGCGCACATCGCTAATTTGGCTGCGGGCGTTTGCAGCCCTGGTTTTCTAGGTTTCTATTTTGGTCGTCGTGCGCTGTGTTTTATTTATGTTTGCCATGGGAAAAGAGTGTTGCTAAAAGTGCTTAATTCGGTGCACCTGGTGAACCAGAAGGGCGCTTCCAGCGGTTGACCCCAAGAACCCCAAATCGGCGCTAAAGTAAACAAGTATTTCGAAACACTTGCGAGCATAGTTCAGTTAGCATCGGCCAAATAAAACCGAAAATCGGGAAATAAATGGTGAAAAGCGTGCTCTTTTTGGTATATAACTTATGTGTATATTAATGATAAGGGTGAAACGGTCGCAAACACAACGAAACTAAAAGAAAATCTACTATTAGTCAGCGATCTATTTTTGCTCATCGAACGACAAGGAACAACAACAAACGGAGCAACAAATGTTCGTTGAAACGAAACGCAGCTGAAGGTGAGCTGGAAAAATAACAATAAATAAACCCTTCAGACAGTTTGGCTAGCAAATGGGAAATGAGTCAGATTTTCCAATAACTATTCGTCTGGCCAAAGGTTCAGTGGCATCGGAAAATTAACCCCACCGCCCTGCGATGCGTCATCCAAGTAGAGGCATCTACAGACATCCCCAGTTAGGCAGCTACAGTACAACCTCCCCAAGTTGAACTCTCGAGCCTCTGGAATACAAATAGTTAAATTCTTCTCTGCAACTGAACTCAAATATCACCAACGAAATCACTTTTTAAAGTAGTTTTTTGGTGTACTAGAATGGGTAGTCTTCGTATTTCCCCCCACTATAATGAAATCCTCTATTTAAGAAAGTTTTGAGTTCTTAAATATCAAAATATGAGTTCTCAAGTTTAATCAAGCCGAAGTAAGTCCTGCTTAGTTGAACTACATACATACATAGTCTCTGCAAAATAATGGATACTTTTTTAAATAAAAAATTTATAAACTAATACATATTAAAATGTTTAGGAAACAACTATTTTAGAAACTAACTTGGTCATTTTTTCAGTTTTTGGCTGAAAAACATATTTAAATAATATCACATTTAGTTTCTTGATATATAGGTACCATTTATTTAGGATTGACTGTATACAAATTTCTACTAAACAATATCACATGTAAACCTTTGTCTAGAGAACAGTTTTTGTACCTTTTTTTAAGCTTCTCGGTATTTTCGAGACATTTTTTTCAATATCCAGCTCTTGTTGCAAAAGTAATTTGTTGCCGGTTTTTGGGTGAATTTCCTATGCGCCGTCTCCAAAAGGTCGACCAGGTTGAGGAGTCCGCCTGCATAATCCATTGGGTCAATAGCAATTCCCGTTCCTCCGGAAAAGTGTTTGTTTGCTAGCATTCGTTGTGAAAAGAAAATGCACAGCCGGATGAAGAAGGAGGCACGATTCGAACCCTGCCACATGCCTCCCAAACCCCAATTCCCCCCATTGGATCCACAGAACCAACAAGCATCATTACCCGAACAATTTTGAACCGCTGCCAAGAGAATTTCCCATGAAAGGCGGTGGCAAACCGAATGCAGATTCATTCTTTTCAAAACCCACAAGTGAGGTCTTGGTTTCGGCTTACAGAAAACTAGCAATTTAAAAAAAACGTCTAAAAATGACTGCTTATATAAAATAGTTCCTTCGTTGTTATCTATTATAATCCCCATATAGTTTAAAAAAATTCAAGAACATAAACACCATTTTCTAGGGTAAAACCGAGTCGTATCTTCTTGCCCCAAACACTTTCCTCATTGTGCCTTATTATTGTTATTTTTGCGCTTTAATGAAAGCGTTTCAGAAATATCTGTATGTGGGTATGTACTTTCCCAAAACAAACCTTAAAAACAGCATTTCTTCATAATTCCGCTGTTGACCTCGTTTTCGGTATGTTGGCAATACTATTATTGTAGAACTTTGGATGCGATCCCCTCAAGCAATAGGAACTCCCACTCGCTCACCTCTTTTTTGTGCCCACGAGTACCGATGACTTCCACCGCCACTAGATATCTATAAATACGGCCAAGCAATCAAATTATATTATGTCTATATATCTGAGGAAATGCATCTCAAGTGGTGGGCTGTGCAGCCTGTAAATCTCGGTATTGACACATTGAAGGGGCACTATTGAGTGCAGTTCGTTTGAGGTAGTAGGGATAGCGATCCGGATCCGGCCGTCACAAGATAGAACTGCATAAATTTGGTTTGTCTTTGGCTGGCTTTGTTTGTCTTTGCCCCTGACTTTGCCAAGAAAAACAAAGGCACAGCCACTCGCCTTTCACACATCTCTCTGCTTTTTGTTTATGTTCTCTGTCGCCCCACGAAAATAAACATTCGGTGATTTAAGGTTTTCCCCTGCGATGGGTGCGACGTTTTCTTCGTCAAATTGCGCATTTCCGGAAGACGTAGGACATCCATTTGATTTCTGCCTTTGGCGACAGATCGTTAATAACCAAGAGATCTCATATTTTTAGAGAGCGTGGGCCCAGAGTATCCGTATCTGTATCTGAATCTGCATCAGTATCTGTATCTGCATCTGCATCTGTATCTGTATCTGATGTTGCACTGCTGCTCTGCGCGGCGCCATGTGCAGTTTTAATGAATTAATTAAAATTTGGCTCTCAGAGCTTCAATGGGATGTTCACATACATATCTGCATTTGTGCATCTCTGTATCTGCATTTATGCATCTGCATATCTGACCTCCGCTTGCCTCATTTGGAGCACCTCCACCTACGGAAATTTGATTGTTGCCGGCCGTGGACTTAAAGTGATTTCAGGGTTATGCGATGCGGAGGGGAAATGGCATAGATTTGGCTTGGCTTTTGCATTGTTGCTATGATGTATATTTGGCCAGATATTCTGTATATGACAGCTTTAAAAATAGGAAATATAAAAAAAATTGGTTACATGTTTTTTATTTATTTGAACGATATGTCTTGAACATTAAATTATTTGACTTTTTATTATTTTTTCAGTTACTCCTAGATTTTGCAAAATTTCAATTGATGTTATACCAAACGTTTTCAAAGTAAAAAAATGGGAAATAAACATTTTTAGCGTTCCCAAAGCCATAACCCCATTAAAACCTCCATGCCAAGTTATTACTAAATGACAACATGTGTTTGGCGAGATTGAAGATGATTTATTTCCCTAATATATGACATGAACCACATTCCATGGACATGCCTTATGAATCACAGGTATAAACCAACAGGAAACTGAACGAAACAGGTGAAAACATCACAAACAATTCACAAAGTGTTCTGACCAAGACCTACTTATATGCAGAAGTTCTCAATTGATGAGCGAATCCGCAAACATGGAGGATCCCACATCCAATGAGTATTCCGCATATATTTTGGCAAAAATATTTTTATGGGTTTTTTCAAAACACAAAGCAAAAGCATGTCGAGGAATGCTGGCTGCTCCTGCTGCTGTCGCTTATTTCTCAATGAAATAAAATTAAGATACAGCACGATCCCCTGAAGTCCCCCTTTTTGGAGACGCAGATGAAAAGGTTGTCCCCGGATCCATATTTTTTGTCACATCTCTGTTGATTTTTCGTGAAAATATGCGATGTATCCGCTCGAAAACGCTTGACTTTAAGTATAGGTATATGTGAAAATATATTCGATTCTCTCACGATCTCGCCGAGACAGTGGGAAAATGAAAATGACGAGGAGAGTAGTGACACTTTCGGTTGCCGTAGAAAATTCGGCTGCCATTTGTCGCCAGTCTTTCTGTATTTTCCGCTTTTCTCGCCAGTTTCGCTGAAGCAATGAACGCGTGCGGTGCAACGTCTAAAAGCAGCAGAAACGGCGGAAAACGGCAAATTTTCGTACAACAATTTATTGTTGAAAAAGTATATATCATCGGTCTATATAATAGACTACAGCGGGTACATATAATCGAGTGTCTGAGTGGCGATAAAGAAGCGACAATTTAAAGGCATTTTCATGCGTGTGTGCAACCAAAACGTGACCTTGCTTCAGGGAAATTTTCTCGTTCTAAATTCCTTGGAATATCATCAGATTAATCTTGACAATCTCTTGGGAGCTGTAAAGTATTGAAAAAAACAAGTCGGAAGAGCCACCAATTTTTGGCCAGGTTCCCGTCTGCCATATGGGACTTGAGAGTCGCCGAAATGTATATTCTCGTCGGTTTTTTATTTTTAGTATCCCAGCAGAAAAAAAAAGATATTGGGCAAAATGAAAACATGTTATTCATAATTTTGAGTTACTCATTGCGGCAATAGCGCAAAAATGTGATCAATCTATTTATATGTAGTAGATTATTTTATTTGACCTGTATAGTTTCTTGAGATACAGTTTTTGCACGCCAGTTAGTTATTTAATTCCTTCTACCATGATTAATGTCGGGTTTCTCTCCTAAGTTATTGAAAATTGTGACATTTATAGTGCCTATGTGTTCCTAATCCGAAATGCTGCCAAAAGTGGTTTATCGACTTTTATAATTGACTCACTTACTAATGACGAAATCTGTGTACTTTTCCCCTTATATATTATTTGCCCATTTACAAGTTGTTGTCGCACATACAAAAGGTAATTTCAGTTTGCCATGGAACATCGAGAATTTATTGTGTGTAGTAGGTATTTTGATTTTTCAATGTCGCAGTACACAAGATATTCGGAGAATATTTTTGCAAATTTGCTTCTTTTTATAGATGACTGACTTCATGAATCAAATGCACTTGCCATCAGATTAAAAAAGTCCTACTCATTTCCGACAACGAAAGTGTTTTACGATAAGTATAAACATTCAGCGATTTGCAATATGTTGAAATCAAATGTTAAAGAATTGTTCGAACAACACATAAGAAAACTGGCTCGTAAATGTTTTTAAAGAAGACATGGTCGTTGTGTATGATTTATATGTTGGCCTGCCCCCTTTTTTAAAATGATTTTACGACCCTAAACAAAATTATTTCTTTTCGCAATAACTGAGCGATTTTTACCCAATTTTTTTAATGGCTTTTCACAGCCTGTGTGACCTTGGCCGTAGTGTAGCGCGTACGAGTTTTCCAGGCACTTGATTTGGGTTGGAAAAGAAAAACCCGGAGGGGAGTCGTCGGAAAAGTGTCAAGAAACTTGCGCACGCGTTTCTCAACAGATGTTTTGAAAATATTTTCTTTTCCTGGGGCCATAATTATTGCTTTAGCCTTTGCCAAAAAGCTAGAGGAATTCCAAGCGATCGGCGATGATGTTGCTCATCGCTGCAATAATGCGTAGGTGCTTCTACATATATAGAGAGATATGCTCGCATATGCTATTCCATTGAGTAAATTGCCTGGTTGATATTTCAAGTTCAATACCCATTGCCTCGTTTCAGTTGAAGCAATCTAGTGCGGATCCGGTGCAGCCTTGAACAGCCCGACAATGGATCAGCCACTGGTGGTGCGGGCGGAGTACTCCTTCATGGGCAGCAACAACGATGAGCTGTGCTTCCAGAAGGGCGATGTCATCACGGTCACCCAGCGGGAGGACGGCGGCTGGTGGGAGGGAACGCTGAACGAGAAGACTGGCTGGTTCCCCAGCAACTATGTCAACGAATGCAAGGTGCAGCTGCCTCTGGCGGAGACCATAAGGCCGCCGGAAGAGATCCAGGAATACCGCTCTGTGGTGCTCAAAGATCTGCTCGACTCGGAGCGAGCCCATGTGGCCGAGCTGCAGGGTCTGCTCGAGAACTTCCTGGAGCCCATGCAACAGACGCAGATGTAAGTCATTAGCTGTTATTGTTGATTGAATTCGCCATTAATGTGTTCCCCTTACAGACTCAGCCAGGATGAGTACGCCCAGCTGATGTGCAACTTTGTGGAGATCGTGCGAACGCACGAGGATCTGCTCCTCCAGATCGAAGAGTGCAACGATCGAGTTGGTAAACTATTCCTCACGAGTGCTCCGCTGATGAAGAAGGTCCACCAGGCCTACTGTGCTGCCCATCCGAAGGCCATTGTCATTTTGGACAAGTACAAGTGAGTCTACTACGAGATTTTAAGTAGAAATGTGCAATATCAACAACTAATGATAATTGTTTTCTTAACCAAACAGAGATGATCTGGAAAAGTATATGGAACGACAGGGCGCGGCCACTCCCGGATTACTTGTGCTCACTACGGGTCTATCGAAGCCATTCCGCCGACTGGACAAATACTCCGCCATGTTGCAGGAACTGGAGCGGCATATGGAGAGCAGCCATCCGGACCGTGGTGACACTCAGCGGAGTGTGGCTGTGTACAAGGACATAGCTGCCACATGCTCGGCCACACGGCGCCAAAAGGAGCTGGAGCTGCAGGTGCTCACGGGCCCAGTGCGTGGATGGCAGGGTCAGGAGTTGAGCACCCTCGGGGACATCATTCACATGGGCAGCGTGGCAGTTGGAGCAGATCATCGCGATCGCTACTTTGTGCTTTTCCCGCAAACATTACTCTTCCTCAGCGTTAGTCAGCGGATGAGTGCGTTTATCTACGAGGTAGAAAATAATATCATTTACAATTTAATACATATTCATTCTTTGTTTTTTTGCCAATTATTTAATAATACTTTATAACGCAGGGCAAACTACCCCTCACTGGAATCGTAGTGAATCGTCTGGAGGACACGGACGCGATTAAGAACGCTTTCGAGATAAGTAGCCCATTGATCGATCGCATTGTGGCCGTCTGCCAGGGTCCGAACGAGGCCAACAAATGGGTGGAGCTGCTCAATGCCAACAATCCCAGCCTGCCAATGGGCATCAAACGGCAACTGAGTAACCTGAGCAACTCCTCGTCGGGACACCTTAATGCCGCTCATGTAAGTAGTGTAATCCCATCTCAATTACCTTTATTATCGTTTCGTTTTGGCAACACTTTGAACTATGAGCAGCTAAGTCAACATTTGGATTCACGGGGCTACTGCACGCGGTTTTCGCTATGTGCCTACTACTCCGGCCCTCCATGTCTTGTGCGTCCCCTCCGTGTGACTCTTCCACCCAGCAATTACCCACCCACTTCTCCGTACGCCAATCTGAGTGCCCACTTTGCGAGGCTTGTGAAAAGCGGAGGATTGAGGAGTGCCATCGTAAAGATGCTGCTCTATCCACAGGCTCGCCAGACCATCGATCTCAAGCGGATTGCTTTGCGCAAGAAGCGCTGTCACAAGGCGGCAGCGAAATTAAAGGATCTCAATACCAATCAGGATTCGGGACAGTCGGAGCTGGAGCGTCAGGATGCCATCGAACTGCCCACGGACTCGGAGAGCTACGATGATGAATTTGAAGATGATTTTTTGCATTCCTGCGACTCGGATCCGTTTGAGTATGTGCAGTTTTACCAGAACAACCGCAATGATTCCATGTACAACTCCACGGGCACTTTTGTGGACCATGGTACTGGCCCCAGGCGGCACTGTTCCTCTATTAATCTCATCAAACTGGATTCTGCTGATACGGACGACGTCTTAGCACAAAACGAGTTGAAAAAGGAGTCGCTTATTATAGGATCCAGGGCTCTCAGAGCCTTAGCTCGCAAGTCCACGGCTCGGAACTCCAGTGTGCACACATCCACGGCAACTCTGGAGTTGGGAGTGGGTGGCAGCATAACCAACTGTGTGGAAGAGGAACCGGAACTGAAGTTAAAGCCATCATTCTCTTTGCAACAACAGAGCTCCGATGCCAGTTCCATGTATGGAGCTAGGCTAGGCGGAGCCTTCACGGCCTGCGAGAACCTGGCCAGTATGCCCGATGATCTCAGCCGGGAGTCGAGTGTCCAAGAGCCACCCACTCCACTGCCAGCTTCACCGACAGAACGGCACAGCATGCCCACCATTTTTGTGGGCAATCGCTTTAATCAGAGCAAAAATACTGAAGTCTATGTGCCCACGTGGCGGGACCGCCAAGAGATGCAAAACCAGAGTGTGGATGCGGAGCAGGAGGAGGAGTTGCACTCTAGTTCCATGGATCTGCCCGCTGCCTGTCGCACTGCTCCGGATAAATTGCAAGCAGAGCTGCTTTACAATTATGATGAGGTCTTAGCGAATCCTCAAGAGTTGCAGCGGGAGCTTACGCCTTATCCTGGGCATAATGTCAAATCCGACAAGCGGGTTTCCCACAAGAGCGACAGTCCCTCGACGGGAAATTCCAAAACAGATCCAAATCCCGCTGCAAGAAGTAGTTCCACCACAGAGCTCTGCATTGATACCTCCTCGAAAAAGCGCAATCCTCAGGCCCAGCAAAGTAGAGATTCCATTAGGCGATGCATCAGCTATCAGTTTCTGCAAATGTCCAATCGGCAGCCGCCTCCACCACCGCCTCGCAGGGATCCGGATCTGCACCTGGACACGAAATGTCGCTGCTGCGAGAGCTCCCAGTGTCCCAGTCCCCGATCGAGTGATAGCGGAATGGCGGGCAGTTGCACTATTACTTCACCGGATCCCCCCAACCCGGAATCCTACTTTCCCACTGAAGCCGCAGGCCACGATATGCTGGATAACGTGGAGCCAGAGAGGTTTGATGTGTGTGGAATGTTCAGGGATAAGTTCCTTACGCCAGAGGCCACTCAAGATGTTGCCGATGCATTAGAGGAGCAGACTCAACTTCCAGATGAGCCCACAACGCCGACCAACCACAAAGAAGAATCTACCTGCATAAGCTCTGCCCAAGTGCAAGTAAACACGAGGAGTATTTTCCTGCCGTCCAGCTCGAGCATGGACGAGACCAACAGGAATGTTCCGTCCAATGATCTCCTATGTAGCTCGAGTTCCACAGGTCGGCTGGGACCACAGGCCACCTTTCGTTCAGGGATGTATGCACACTGGTGGAAGAAGGAGCGCCTGCCGCCTGAAGTGGTGCGCGGCATAGCCCTCGCATACAACAAAAGCCTGCCCTCCAAGGACTCAAAGGACTCGGGGTCGGTGTGCTCCAGCTGCTTCTGTTCGCTGGGAGCCAGCGATTACAGCGAGGGCGCACTTTACTGCTCAGTGTGTCAGAACTGCGCTGACTACTACAACGGCAGTGCCACCAGCACCACCAATACCACCACCACCACATCCTCCTCTAGCTGCCCACTGTGCAGCGAAGACGAGGGCATGATCGCCTCCCTCCACGATTCGTCCTCGCTTGACTGTCCCATTTGTACGGGCCGCAATGCTTCCGGCGCCGAAGAAGGCAAGCAAACCGAAATGGATCGCCGGCCAGGTGACCCGAGGATTCCTGTCGTTTGGCATCCGGTATTCCTGGCCGGCGTCGTTTGTTCCGTGCACGTGTTCCGTTTAATTGTTTTGTAAATTCGTTTTGCTCAATCATGTTCCTTATATTCAAAAAACCCTAATGCCAACCAGCAAACCATTTGGCCAAATGCAGCACGTCCAAAAAAAATGTCACCATTCGCATCCACAGAATGCTTCCTCATCACTACATCCTTTGACTAACCCAATGCGAGTTCATTAGTTGCTCAAAACTCGAAAATAATGTATAACAGAAAAATGAACTGAAAACGTTGTAAATATTTAAAAGAGTTCTTTGCCAAGAATTTTGGAAACATTAGTTATAAATTGAGATGTTTCTAAAATATACTTAAATTGCTTAGAAATCCAATTGTAGTTTAAAAAAATTTATAAAATATGGTCGAGTTAGTATGCAAATATACAAATTAGAAGCTTTTTCCCACTAGTAGTAGATGAAGTTCATGTTTTGTACTGTTCACATATTCCTAAGGATGTGAAGTGTTTAATATATTAGGGCTTATTAGTTCAAAAAGGCAATTCCTATTCCTCCCACGACTGCATCATCATTGATTCTAAAATTGAGTTGAAATGTCATCCGTCCAAAAGCTAAACGAATTACAAAACATTTATCTAACGCTCAGCAACACACAAATTCGAACAATGAATGAAATCTCTAAATCAAAAACCAAACAAACGCATTCGATTCGATTTGCTTGCCGCGCTTTGCTCGCTGCAGGATTTGCCTGAAGGACCTGCCTCCGCCTGCCGTTGTACGTTTTTCTTGTTGTCATTGAACTGCTGATCCTTTAATGGCGGTTCACCTTCTCCGATCATAAAACTAACTTACGATATTCCATAATAAGTTTAGGTTACATTCTCAAGAAATCTGTTTAATTGAGATTTTTATCTTCTGATTTCCAGATGTCGCCGCCGTCGAACCACAGCCTGCTCTTGCCAACCGGAGGTCGTCCGCCGGCCACGCCCAGCAGCATCCCGCCCAGCGGCAACACAGGCGGGAGCAACAGCCACCAGGGATCTCCGGCCACCAACTCGATGTCGCATCACAAACGGAGCCAGTCCTTCAACCATCATCTCAGCTACAATCAGTACACGCCCACTCAGCCTCCACCACATCATCTGCATCCACCACAACCACCAAGTCTGCCAAGTCATCTGGGGGCAACCGCCCCCAGATCAAGTTCAGTCCAGATACCAAGCAGCAAGATAGCAGCTCCAATCCTGGCGTCATCCATGGACGGCAGTCCAGCAATTCAGGGAGCAGCGGGAGCAGCAGCGGCGGGAATGGGGGTGCCAAACGCAAGGAAAGGAAGCACAAAGGGTGAGAAATCGATTTCTGATCAGTTTCAAATCCACAAAAATAATGTATAATTTTAAAGATACCAATAGAATTTTGTAAAAATATGCATGTAAATTGTTCATACATAATTAAGAGAGTACTTGCATTTTTGGTTTTACCTAATTCATTATATTTTTTTTTACCGTTCATATTATTTACTCTGGAAATCTTTAATTTCTAAACTGCCTGTTTTAATCCTCAGCTAACTGGACCATCAGCTGCCTGCGTCCCACGCCGCCGTTGCGGCCAAGTTTGTTAAATGCCACGAGCGGATCGGGAAGTGGCAGCGGTGGGAGTGGTGGCGGCAGCAGCAGCTCCAGCAATGCCCTGGCCAGCTACTGCAGCGGGAGAAAGAACCAGCCCACCTTCGAGGAGGACGCCCTGGTGCTCCGGGTGTTCGAGGCCTATTGTGCCGCCTACCAGAACAACGCCAGGAACACCATCCACTCGGGTAAGTGGCGCCGGCCATCCCAGATGTGCTTCATCTAGCTGTTAGGATATTCATGTGCTCCCGAATCAAGTTTGTTTATCATTTGCTGAAGAATAAGAGCTAAACATTGTTAGCTGATTTGCTTATTTACCACACACTCACACAAAACACATAGTTGTAAAATCCTCACACACAAACACAGACTCACCTGAAAGTCTAGGCGCTAAAAAACCATCATTTATCATTTTGTTGGTTCTGTTGCTGTATCTCATGGTTTTATTCATTTTTAACAAGGCATTGCACTAAACCACGAAGAATTTTCCAAATTTAACCAAGAATATTGTATTAGGCTTAGTTGAACCTTTAACTTTAAGCTTACAAATTGTTAACCAATTACCAAATTATTTTTAAGAGAAACGATTGATTTTTTAGTTTTACTATTGGCCATTGATTTCGTTTTAAGATCCACAAACTCAACTCTGCAATTGGTGCTAAGCAGCGCGCAAAGGAAACCAAAGTTTTTTGCATTACATAATGTCAATTATTCTGTATTTCTATTATTATTTGTACTGACCTCAATTGAATTTGATATATTATGTTTCTTACTATAAATAAATCTTATTTTTGTTACCCCATTACCCATGTAAAGTTTAGTTTAATTTATTCCTACCGCCGATTGTGCCTCTTCCCATTCCCATTTCCAGGCCCAAAACAATCCCATTTCGACTAATTTATAATTACCATTAAAAGGCTGCACACTCTGTATATATGTTGAAAATACGGTTGGTGGTATTTGCCTTAACCATTTTTGCACACTCATCCCACAATCCTGATTCTAGCCACTGTAACTGGTTTTTGGTTAGATAATGGTACTGGTATATTTTTCATTTATCCCCTGACCGCTTTTCCCATTTGGTGTCGTGCTCATCCTTGTAGTAAAATACTATCCGTTGATCCCATAACCTTGCTTTATTCACCCTCTACTTAAGATTGTTGTGGTTGTCTCCTTGTTGGCGTTGTGATCTTGTGATCTTTTTGGTTTTGTTTTATGGGTTTTTGGTTCTCCTTGCGTCCCTCCTGTTGTCGTTGTTAGTATTTGGTTTTTCCGTTTCTTCAAATCTCTTCATTTTCTCTCTCTCTTTATTCCAATCCAACCTGATCCAAATCGATCTATAGCCTTGCAACCCTGGACACCGTGTCTGCCCATCCGCGGTGGCAAGCTGAAAACGAGCAAAACCTTCTCGACCTCCAATCCACAGCTGCCTTTCGTAGCCAATGTCGGCAACTCACCCTACCTCAATCAGCAACATCTGCACCAGCAGCACTTGCAGCAGCAACACCTGCAGCAGCAGCAATACCATCCCCAGCAGCAATCAGGTCGTCAACACTCTGCCGGCAGTTTGAACTCTTCCTTTATTTGGCGCGAGGCGAGTCCCAACAACTTTAATTTGTACTCCAGTTCGGTGTCTTCAACGCTGAATTCGACTCCAGCCCAACGCTACTCCTTATCCGGAGCAGGAGGAGGAGGATCGCCCTCCATTAAGGATTACCAGAGAGCCCTATCGGAGGAGAGGGCCACCAGGAAGTCCTTAAATCGCCTGAAAAGTGGCTTTGGATCCGGATACGACAATGTTTGTACTTCACCGCTGCTACCGAGGAAAAACAAACCGTCACCCAAATTGGTGGCCCAGCAGACGTACCAGAGATCCCCGAGCAATGCAACCACCACCACCACAATAGTAAAGCCGAATCCGGCGGGGCACCCAGGACTCTACGATCGCCGGCTGAACCGATCCTTTGAGACCTCCACTTCGCATCGCTATGCCGGCTATGGAGCCGGCTATCTGATGAACTGCGGCGGAGCCTTGCGGACCAGTACGCTCCAGAGGAGCACTCCTCAACTGGCCGGCGGAGAACGATCGGATGACAGCGATGTGGAGCGGGAATTGCTGCGGAGCAATGGGGCAGGTCCCTCGGCGAATTTGGAACTCAATGCCGATGGCAGCAAACGGCAGTCGGGCAGCTGGTGTTGCGGTAATTTTGTGATGAAACAGTGGCGCAAAATCAACCATGTTTGAGTCTGGGCTTGGGGCGTCATCATGCCTTCATCAGTCATCCGCATCGCATCCGCATATCGCATCCCGCTGCTCCAGCTCCAGATACAGATGCTTTGCTTTGAATGCGCTCTGTGTGCAAATCTTTATTGATTTTTAGTTAATTTACTGGCTGCGCAAAGCTTTCAATGCCACAAGCCTTAGATTCTAGACCAGCGATCTATATAAAGTTGTAAGCGAATGGACAAATAACTTGTATTCCTTTTGATTGTCTTAGCCTTAAGCTGCGCCTTGATGTGTCTGCCGGGGAATTCGCCCAGTTGACTGGTGTGCCAAGACCTATATTCAATGCATATCCCGCAACTGAGCGAATATCACTGCATATAGACTATAACTAGAATTTGTGCTTAGCTTATATTGATTTACATCTAACTTAGCTTATTATTAATATGTAATCTGTGAAAAGACTTGGCGAAAAAGAGAAAAAGAGTTTAGATGCTATTCGAAGGAAGATGCTTGCCACTGAAGTGCAACTCAATTTTGGAATTTAATAGACTTTAGTTCAGCTAAAAGAAGGCAGCTGAAACAGAAGGGCTTTAGATTTCCGTCCACGGCTTTGGAAATTCTATTTTTTTACTTGGCCAAACGAAAGTGGAACAAAATGTTGCCATAGGAAACACAAATGTCCTTATATGCCATAGTCTAGACTATTTACTAAGTATGCTCGTAATTCTTAATGCATCTGTGTTTTTTGGACGAAATCGACCCAGTGAGTTTTGTATTTAAATGTGCGTTACCTGCCTAACAAGCAATTAAATCAAAGAGTGTGCAATGTGTAATCAAAGAGTGCGCTTTAAATGTTAGCCATAGCTAGATTCAGAAACTAAATCAAAGTAACCAACTGTTGTGCATTATTGACCGCAGGATAAACCAACTTAATTTGTAAGTGTTTTGTGAAAAAACGTTGTCTAACCAAATGAACTACTATATACTCTACTATTAACCAGTTTATACGTTTGTACTGTAATTGAGTTGATATTTGTCGACAAAAGTGAGAGATAACTCAACGAATTGAAGCGAAACATTGAATAAAATCCTTTACAAGACGAATCTCCTTTTGTTTGCCTGTGTGGTTCTGTGTTTTGATGTTTGTTAATATAGTAATATTCAAAATATATATTTTTAAACTTCTAGAGTACCCTATAGATTGATATCCCGTAGTTGGATTTAATCGAAATGCCCTCAGCTATAGATCCTTAGTCATAGAATGTTTTAAATATACACTATTTATGTTTTCCTAGCAATAGCTTAAATTATATTTTACGCCTAAACATATTATTATACCCGTACACAGTCATATTTTGTACATTGCCATTAAACCACACTGATCCCCTCATCCGATCTCTTACACACAACACTAACATATTCTGTTCTCTGTTCGATTTTCTTTTTTCCACCAACACACAAACCGTAAAGCAGGCCTTGAAAACGAGGATATGACCCCAACATTGCGCCAACTGTGGACCGCCATCAGGCAGATGCAGCAGGACATGTCCCAGATAAAGCTGCAGATCAACGAGGAGCGGGCCCTGCGAGCCGATCTCCAGCAGCTGCTGATGCAGCATTTGGAGACGAGCAGCGTGAGCAGCGGGGCCAACACCCCCAAGTGTTGACTATGCAAGTGACCGGGTTCTGGAGGGGATTCCCCAATCCCAATACATCGAAACAATACCCGCCGCCGCTTTTAGCTTTAATCATTTTTTTAGATACTTTTACTTTGCATCTCCCGGGGGGCAGTGGGTCAATTACCAAAAAATTATCTGCAAATGGACTTTATGAATCGTATATGGATTGTATTTACCGAAGTACTATTATATGTGTATGTATATTTGTGAATGGACAATATGCCGATTGTATGTAAAACTATTTAACAGATCTTTCTATCTATCGTGTTTCGTTTTTTCTCATGCGATCTATCTGGGGCGTTTGTAAAATCTTCAGAAATTTAAAAGCAATCATTTAATATCTTACTGCATATTTAAGGCCTGATAAATGGCTAAAATCCGAAAGGATTATTTTTCAAAACACTAAACCCACATTACAAAATTTACGACATTGAAAAAAAAACCATTAAGAAGAATTTTGCTCTTAAGTTTCTAAAGATTTCCTCAAGACAACCGCTTATATAATAATTATTTTTAATGCCTACATTTAATCTTCATTGTAATAGTCTAGCATAACATGCACTTTGCATTGGCATAGATTTTACATACTTTAGTTTATAACAACATTTTATGACGTTGCTGCCATGCAACTCTTAAAAGCTGCTTGTGTAAGTTATGAGAATAGATAGACCCAGTTTTGACCCTTGTTTGGAAGGAAACTTAAAATGGATAATGCAAAATTATAACAAAACGTGCCAATACTTTAGTAAGCTGCAACAACGTACGAAACATCGCTCAAAGAAAGTTGTATTTACGTATTATACCTAGAACATTTATTGGATAATATATACACACAAAATGTAAATGAATCTGAGGAGGTTTTCATTGAGTTATCACATTCTTGAGCAGCAGCACCTGGAGATTGCAATCGGAACGCACATAAGCAGAACAGAAACCACTCCGGATCCTAAGAATGCCTAACGATTTAACGAGTCTAAAACAATGTATAACCGCTATCGCTTGTCTGACAATTTTGCTGAATAATTCGGAATGCCAGGGGGATTTTTCTGCTCTGCTTCGTGCAACTGGAAAGAGGAAACCCATGTCGGACTGCTGGGGAGCATAATGAGATTGCAATCAGTCAGCGGGAAAAGGCGGAGGCACCGGCGGC